AGTGCTGAAAATGAAGAAAACACCTTGATTACTTTGGATTTTATTACACTTTTTATCAAACCACGAGAAAATTATGCTTTTTATTTTGATTCACTAGAATAGGTACAGTGGCTTTAACACAAGGAAAGGACTAGATTGTACCAACAAAAGCACACCATTTATTGTAATTCTACTATACAACACTTTCAGTATATCCTTAATTCCAATGTATGGAAAAACCCACTATCCGGAAGACAATTCTGAAAAATCAAGGACATGTCGCTGCTTACCACTTGAATCGCCAGAAAAAAACAACTGCACTCAGAAAAAAGTCAGCCAAATATATTCCTCTCAACACATGATTTGGTAACTATAAACAAATAATGTAACTATAACCAAATAATGTGTTGATAAAAACATATTTAGTTGACGTAACTAAACTCTTTTCTCAGTGTGCCAATCATCACATGGATTGTCTGACAGGCAAACTTTGCAAAACATCCAATTCCAAATTATTCCATTATGTTTAGGTCCTGTGAATAGGACGAACTCTGAAAAAAATACGACTTTGCTTCGTTATCCTCATTTTTAGAGCTCCTTCAGTGCAAATCGGTTAGTAATTTTGCTAGCATATTCAAGAACATAGTGCAGAAATATGCGACAAATGCTAAAAAAAAAAATGTCCTTAATACTTGTTTTGCATGTTTTGCAGTTCAGACCGCCATACTCTCATCTTGAAGTAATCAAGGTATTTGCTTCATTTTCACCACTTTTCTTCGAAATTAATCATTCTTCAAAATGAGGTCAAAAAGAAACTCCTCTGATGCCCACAAGTCCAGATATAAGGTTGGATCTTGAGGAAAATAGTATGTGTACCTATGCAGTGAATCGGCCTGTTTTCAAACTTATTCGTATTCGTAACCCGCCCTTGAGCAAACCGCGCACACTCACACTCAAATATGTACAGCGACTACCAGTTTGAAAATCCCCCCCAGTGTTACAAATGCACTTTGTAAACAAACCTTAACTTTTCCATATTTACATAGAAAGCAGAAGAAAAAGTAAAACAAAAGTCAAAACTTAAATTGCAATTTCAATTCAAACAATAAACAACGATAACCCGCGAAAAGCTTCTACTAAAACAGCTATAAAATCTTGTAGGTTGTGTTAGTACCTACGTTGCGAATAAATGAATAATAAATAAATTGCATTGTGCAACAACAATACCAACGTAGAAGGTGTTATAGTGATTGTTAGGCAACAAATGCGTAAACATAAACAAAACTACGAACAGTATGTACTAAGAAGAAGTCGTAGTAAAATATGTGGCCATGCAATAGAAAACAAAGAGAATGATGTAGAAGGGTAAATGAGAATATTCATACAGTCAGCGTCAAAAATATGCATACCCTGCCGTTTTGACGATTTAATTTATTTTTCTATATGTTCTAAATTTTGTTTATTCGTTTATAAAGATACATATCGTTGCCTTAATATAGAAAGGCCCTATCTCACATCGTCGCTGAAATGCACAAAGCCGTAACTAACTAAAATCTTTTATTGCATAAAACGATTTGGGGCCACATAATGCGATCAAAGGCATCATAATCAATTAAAACGTAAATTTTCGATTTTTAGTTAGTTACGGCTTTTTGTATATCAGCGACGATGTCAGATAGGGCCTTTCTATATTAAGGTAGCGATATAGTTCATACAACAGCAAAAACCATAAGATTTATTTTTTTTTCATACGGAATTCGGAAAAATGCAAGAAATTTGTATTTAGGTTTTCAATTTTTCAATTCGATGTTCGACGGCTGATATGTGAGAATTTTTTTTTCGCTGAGGGTGTTGCGAACCGAACCTTCTTTCATAAAGATTGCGTTCATGCATTATATGAAAGAAAATGCGCAACACTCACGGTAGAAAAATTCTCAAAAATCAACGTTAATTTTTAGCGTCTAATTAATGGCCTAAAAAATTGCATACTCAAATTTTAAATTTAAAAATTGAAAATCCCGATGAAAATTTCTTGACATTTCTTGTATTTCCTCGAGTTCTGTATGAATTAAAAAAAAAATATTCTTGTGGTTTTTGTTGTTAAATGAACTATATTTTTATAAAAAAAAAAAATTAATTTTGTATGAAAAATATAAATAAATCAAATCGTCAAAACGTCAAGTTATGCATATTTTTGACGCTGACTGTATGTATTTTGATTTCAGAAATGTCCATGCAGGATCTTAGATATTGACAAAGTTCGAGTGCGAAGACCGCCACATGATTGGTTCTCTTCCTTGTGGGGTATCTAAAGATCTCTAGTTGGTCCTAAGTCGGGATTGGTTCTTTACGGTTCTTTAAGGTTCCGAGAAAATTCGATCAATTTAAGAATAAACGTCCACCATTTTTAATCCGCCATTTTGGAACAGTCATTTCAAATTTTTCAAATATAAACAATATTCACTCAATCTGAAGCAATGGTAAGAATAAGCGAAATTTGAGTAAATTAAAAAAAAAACAATGAATTCCGTGACAATAAATTTCTCAAACTACACTACTACTACTTTCGTAAAACTTCCGAGCTTTTAAATTAGATTACTTAGAAATATTTTGAATATGCAGTTTGAGTCGGATTTCAAGCGACCATGCGCTTTTGATTCAGCGATCTATGTGACACTAATATACATATATGTACATTAGGGCGGGTCAATTTGTATGGGATAAGTTTTCGACTATGCGCGTATAGCGCAGAAGGATTATAGGTGTAATTCTAAGCAAATTTTACGTAGAAACCCTGGGTCTAAAATCAATTTGGAATTTGCCAATTTGCGAAAATAGTTTTCTTAGCATTTTGCTGTAGTGTCGTAAAGAAGTGGTTAAGTAAATTTTGTATAAAAACATGCCACAAGGGATTTTTTTGTATGACGAATCTATTTATGCGCTTACATATATTTTTCTTAAAAGTTCCACCAGAGAGCGCAAAAGTGAAAATTTTCTTCGAGACCTATTTTCGCAATTTGGCTAACTACAAATTGATTTTATACCCATGGTTTCTTCGGCAAATTTGCTTAGAAATACTCATTGAATCCTCCAATGCTACACGCGCATAGTAAAAAAACATTGACCTGCCCTAATGTACATACATATGTATGTACATAAATCACCAAGGAGAAAACATGCTTGTGTACTCTGCTGTGATCGAATGAGCATTCAGATGCCATACATAACAACAACGTAACTGAAATGGAAAAAAGTCGCGACTACTTAATATTTTTTATTTTTTTATTTTCATAATTGTAATTCGATGAAATCCATCATATCAATCAAAAACTGAATTTTAAATTTTTTATTAGTTACGACTTTTTGTACTTCAGCGACGATGTTTATTACGTCTTTTTGCATTTCAGTTGGCGATATATGTACATACATATGTAGTATGAGCCGTTTATTTTGACAATGGCATAAGTCACTTCACACCTCTTGTGTTTAAATGGGCGGTTACTTACATACATATATCTGAACACGACGTTTATCTTACAACTCTTAATTGTATCTAAGAGCTCGCTTTGCTACGATTTTTGTTAAATAAATAATTACTCCAAGTGCAAAATAAAAACATAATAAGTATGTATGTATGTACATATAAAAATTACAAAGATAAATAAAAATTTGCCAATAAATAAGTACATATTTGGGAAGTCTGCAGTTTGTCGCTTTGTTATCGATAAGCGTGTATTGCAGAATGATTCTACAATGATGCATTTTTGTATGTGAGCACATTAGCAAGTTTCTTGTTATCGTATAGGGAAATAAAATGGCAAATATAAGAATGTAAATAAAATAAATTTTATGTTTATACTTCTGTTTTGGTATAAATTCGGGGGACAGTAAGTAGCAGGGAAATATTGTCAAAAAAATGTTAACAAAACATTCACTGCGACACTTCTAGTGTGAAAACATACACATACATACATACATAATTAACACTCCCCTACAAAAAAATGCGACTAATCCTGGATGACTCCGGGAGCAATCGCAAAGGAACATACGACTAACACCACTTTTGATCTCTTTATATGGAATGATTTGTTCGCTTTTGTTCGAGCATGTCCTACGAAGAATGGGTATAAAAAGCGGCTAGTCACTTTTCAAAAATAAAGATACAAATTTTTGCGCATTCACTAAGTGCGTACTTATCATTAAATCGTTAATTGCACCAGTTAGAGATGAGTCGGGGACTAGTTGATCTCCAATTAGTCATCCCGAATTAGTCGCATTTTTTGCAGGGCTGTTTGAAAAAATAAAGACAAATATACATTTTTTCGATAGCTGTTTGAATGCATTTTATAGTAAACGGCTAATTGTAGTTCACAGTGGGTTTTGTTGTAGGTAAAGTTTGTTTTCATTAACGACTGGATTATGAATAGAATGAGAGGGTGCAGTAGACTCACGTCTGTATGTATTATATTCGCACATAGTTACAAATACTATTAGATTTATTTGTTTATATCTATACACATACATATGTATATACATACATAAATAGTACAGTAAATGTAGGTGGGCGCTAATTGCGGAAATACTCCGTCAATGGCAGACATGAATTCCGGAAGACCTTAGGTAAAGTAATAACAAAAAATATCTATAGATAAATAAATACGTTGCATTTTTGTTAAGTATCTCTTTAATCGACTTGAAGAAAGTCAATAAATGCTTATCTAGAAATTATTGCACTACATACATATGTACATATATTAATTTTTATAGTGACCACTTACCTCAGGCGTTTTGTATAATCATTTAAATGGGCAATTGTTGCTTGATTTTGTGGTGGTGCTGCGGCAGTGGGGTAGGATTTAAGTAAGGCACTAAGTGCTGCACTTAACTGAATTTGATTCATACTTAACATACAAATTTTGACACTTATTCTATAGGACCTGAGCTTTTGGCAGCATGAGGGCGGCTTTAAAAATAATTCGAAAGGCAATGCAAAACAAAAAAAAAAATCAGTATTTCTTGAAACACAATAACACTATTTTAAATTAATGGAATTCACTTGATCACTAATATATAATTAAAGCGTTTGATATTGTACTTGATAGTTGATTTGAGATCTGGAAAATAAAAATAAAAACATAAGATATTAATTAAGTAATAAATTGAAGCAAAGCAATAAAATTAAGTAATTAAGTAGATTAGGTCTGAAGAAAGATTTTTTTTAATCCTCTAGCTGCCAAGTAGTTGTAATAAACAGATCACACACTTCACAGGCCGTTTTTTTTTATTGTCACCCGGACGAACAGACCAAAAGCCGGACACCTGGCAACCCTGGGTGGGAGGCGGGGAAATTATGCATCAAAAATTACGAAACAGCTTTTAAAAATAGCAACTAAAATACTGTTTCATAAAACGAACGCTAAAAAAGAAGTGTCTAGTACGTTACTATTAAAAATTAAGCGAAATAATTTGGGGTCACAGCCAGTGTTGCCAGATTTCTTTAATTTCTATTTTTTTTAAACTGTGTTACCAAGAAAAAAAAGTAAGTGCGCCTGGGCCACACTGGAGAAGTGAAACTTACGTTACATATCTATTTTGTCTCATAACCAATATACATACATACATACATCTGCTTTTGCTTAAGATTATATTTTTTTTCTTTTTTCTATCTAAATAGATCCCTACCTCTACCACTGTTCGTTCTAATTCCATTTGTGTTATTCTGTTTTCCCCTATCTTCATTTTTATCGATAACAAAATCGATAGTAACATCCAATAAAATATCGATAACAAAACCGATAAAAATATCGCTAACAAAATCGATGAAACATTTGATTAAAATTTCGATGGCAAAATCAATAATAATATTGGTAGCAAAATCTATTAGAAACTCGATAAAAATATCCATAACAAAATCGATAAAAATATCCGTAACAAAATCAATAAACATCGATAGCAAAATCGATAAATATCGATAACAAAATCGATAAGTATCGATAACAAAATCGATAAATATCGATAATAAAACCGATAAAATCAATAACAAGATCGAAAAATACCGATTACAAAATCGATAAATATCGATAACAAAATCGATAAATATTGATAACAAAACTGATAAATATCGATAACAAAATCGATTAATATCGATTACAAAATCGATAAATATCGATAGCGAAATCGATAAATATCAATAACAAAGTCGATAAATATCGAAAACAGAATCGATAAAATATCGATAACAAAATCGATAAATATCGAGAACCAAATCGATAAAAATTTCGATAACAAAATAGTTAAAAATATCGATTACAAAATCGATAACAAATCGATAAAAATATCGTTAACAAAATCGATAAAAATATCGATTTTTATGTGGACATGTTCCGAAAATATCGATAGCAAAATTGGTAAAAATATCGATAAAAACTCGATAACAAAACCGATAAAAATAACGATTATTTAATCGATAAGTCCCGAGAATCCCGAAAATCTCCAAAATCACAAAATAGTTCCCAGAGTGAGTCTCTGTGTCTCTGTCTATATCCTTTCCTCTTTGATTACCTTTATTTTAATCTTTCTTCTCCTATCTTCATCTTTACTTTTATCGGTATCCTCAGCCTCCTCTTTGTCTTTACTTTTATGTTTGTCATTTTCTTCAGCTACATAATCCCCTTCACCTTTGCCCTTATATAAGTGAAGTATTTAAATTTACCTTGGTCTTCTTTTTGCCTTTATCTTTACGCATCTTTGTTTTTGTTTTTTTTTTTACCTTTGCCTTTATCCTTTTCTTTATCTATGTACGTAGTCACCTTTACTTTCATTCTTGTATTGGTCTTTTTCTAAGCGTTATTCTTTAACCTTTTATTAGCAAATTTTTGTTCAATTAATACCATACACAAGAAGCACTTGTTTCAGCCCCAACCATTTTCGTTGCACCATTTCCGTTGCACCATTTTCGTGTGCAATTTCCTTTGAATTTGCCAATTTACTCCCAACCAACCAACCGCCGCTAAAGAAGTTTCACTTCAAAAATGTATTTCAGCAAACCAAAAACATGTTGCTTTCAAAAGCTAAGGGATTTTTGGAAAATTAAAGTTATTTTATATTGCATTTAACATGGATAGCAACAAAAACAATTAATTTAAAATTAAATATTATTACAGTAAGCAACCGGTTCGTTTAAAGGAGCTCTGTTGAACTTGCATCAAATTTGCCAAATCGGAAAGATGCTGACTTATTCTCTTTGATAACACTGGATCACAAATTTTAGTCTATCCTAAAAATATTTAGATTATCCAATGTCTATGTAGAATTGCTCGGTGATTCTAAAAAACGAGTTAATTTTTTTCTATGGATACGTTTCCGAGATAATTGATTATACCGTTATTCAGCTTAAAGTAAAAAGTGGTTCCACTTAATCACGTATATCTTGTGAACCAATTTAACAATCTCAAAACGAGATACGTCGGATGAAAGCTAATAAAATTCTCCATAAACCAAATATATACATCACTTTCTGATAGGACTGAAAGTTTCTGACAAATTAATTAATCATTACAGTTTTTTTCTTATTTTTTAAATGAAAAATTAAAAAAATCAAACTTTAACAGAAGAAGAATTTTAAAAAGTATCAGGTTCTGTGCCAAGTTTTAGCATTTGTGCTAAAGCCTGTTCTGTTACAAAAAATTTAAGAAAAATCGATGGATAAATAAAGAAATATGCAGGAAAATGAAATGAGCAGGAACGCCACGTACACCTGAGTAACACGCTTTTCTGCTCATATTTCATACACAAAATCTTTTTTCATTTAACCACTCTTTACTTCTATATTTATCCATCGATTTTCTTCATTAGTAACTTGAATTTTTTTGTAACAGAACAGGCTTTAGCACAAATGTTAAAATTTGGCACAGAACCTGTTATTTTTTCAATTTTTCTGCTGATAAAGTTTGATTTTCTCATTTTTCCATTAAAAAAAAAAAACTATAACGAATAATTAATTTGTCAAAAACTATCAGTCTTATCGGAAAGTAACGTGTACATATATAGTTTATTGAGAATTTTATTAGCTTTCATTTAACGTATCTCATTTTAAGATTGTTAAATTGGTTCGTCATGTATACTTGATTAAGTGGAACCACTTTTTGTTTTAAGCTGAATAACGGTAAATTGCAAACATCTCGAAAACGTATCCAAAGAAAAAAAAATAACTCAATTTTTTGGAATCACCGAGCAATTCTACATAGAAATTGGATAGTGGCGTCTGGAAAACAAAAACTAAACTAAAGTTTGTGATCCATTGTAATTAGCGGACTCATTTTGTTATAATAAAATTAAATTTTATTATCTTTCGTAGATTTATTTGTTATTTTTTTTTACAATTGATTCGATAAATAAAATTGAGTATAATCATAGGCATGTTTTTCTAAGAGTTCTTTGGTTGTTAAAATACCACATAGTGCTGAAATTTCTAATTCATCTAAAGCTGTAATTAAAGACTTAGTTGAAAATAAATATGGGCTTCTACGGTCTCTACTATTTAGTAAATACGAGCGTTCAGTCTGCAATTCTACCGAAGGAATGGAAAACTTGAACAATAGTTGAGGTAAAAAAGTTAAAGACAAATACAAAATTTGGGGAATTTAAGCTAATTAACACCCTTTCTAATATAAAAACCCTATAAAGGGTGAAAAATCTCAATTACTATACCATATTTAAAACATAACAGTATACTCATATACAGGCTGCCTGCCTAAAGTGGGATCCACAGAAACTCAGAAACTAGTCCTCTCAGACCGAACACAGCGCACATATGTAGAACAACTTACTAAACTTAACTAAACCGAAAAATCGATACGAGAAGCGAAGGCATCACAAAACAAGGCAGGGCTGTTTAAAAAATGTAGAAGACGATCAATTTAAACCTCACTTTCGACCTACCATATTTACAGATTAAAGGCCCGTGTGCAGCTCTAAAGAAAACGGTCAAGAAAAAATCGCCATTATTTCGTGTGTATGTCCATGGAATTTCGACATGTGAGCCTGTTGCCTCCCTCTTTCCTCAAGAAATAATGGAACGGGCATATATTTCTGTGGCAAACCCGGGTTGCCTTGTGCTCTTTTTTCACAAAAAAAAACTTTAGAAAACCGTAGTAGAAAATTTAGCAAATTTCTTAAGAACTACGTACTGCCTGAAGGAAATTTGACTCAAGAAAATTTCTAAGCCATTTCTTGTACGTCATTTTATATGGAGTTTTTACTTTTCTTGAGAGCTGCATACTGGCCTTTAGACAAAGGAGGCGAAGGAAAAATGACCAGTGAATAAAAACTAGCGGAGACCTACAAAAAAATGTTTTACTCACATTTTATATCAATGAATGCAATTAATATATAAATTTGTTTACTCTGTGTGTACCTGAAATTCCTACATATTATTATATACATTTCATTTTTTCTTTTTTCTTTTTCTTTTTATTTTCTACTTATTATTATTAATTTTTTCTTCTGTTTCCCCCGCCCTCTCGCTCTTTTCCAAATACATACGTATATATGTATCATATACATATGTTTTTTTTGGATTTAATCAAAAAATTGTAAACGCGTGACTAGCACTATAAAATAATTGTAAAATTGTTGTGTTAGGATAAATCAATAAATAAACAAACAAACAAACATTGGGACAAATTTCATTTTTCTAGAAATCTATAAACGGTCTTATCGGATAGAGAGTGAAGACAGACTATACAAAAAAAAAAACATTTAGATTGGTCTAAATTTATTTCTATGTACTGGAAGAAGATACTGCCTTTTAAACATTTTTTCAATTGCCAAGAAGTGTTTTCTGGTAACACTGCTCACAAGCACAGACGATGGCAAAAAAGGAAAAAAAAAACTTTTAAAACATACTGAAAGCTCTTTTTTCACTCTCTTTTGAAAAATCGTACAAAAAGTGTGCAAAAGAGGGGCGCTAAAAGCAGAGGAAGTCGATGAAAACTGTTGAATTGTATTTGTATCAGCGTTACCGCTTTGGTAATTTTTAACCAAAATTGGTAATTTTTTTCTTTATTTATGAAGTTTGGTAATTTGGTAATTTATTTTTCAATTTGGTAACTTTTCGATTCGGTCTTACATGTCAAATAGGTCAATATTGGTTCTAATTCCACATTAGTAAGTGGCCCGTAAGCGTTTCCTTTTAGGGAAATACCAGGTAATCCTGAAAGTTTCGCAAGGCGAAAGTTGCTCCTGCGTTCCTTGTCTACTAGGATGGTTTGTTCTTTAACAAACCGCTTGAAAGTGGCTATTGCTAAGTATATCCACCGTGTCCTTTCCTGGAAGGTTTTGGGTGGCCCTACCTTTCCCTGTCAGCTCGTCAGCTTTTCAATTACCATCGATTTTCCGGTGTACCCGGCAACCATATATATCAGTAGAATTCTACGCAAATATGTACGCTCTCGTTAAAAACCTACGGCATTCAGCGGGGGACTTCACTCTGCCTATGTGTGAGTCGAAAGCTTTCTTTCAAGCGTTGAATTTTTGATATATTTTTTTGTCACTTGTTTACATACAGTGGTCGAAAAAATTATAACCGCACCATATTTTGAAAGTTTTAACATGTTATTTTTTTGTAATTTAATTTTGGTTATTTTTTATAAAAATATTGTTCTTTCTTTTCAAACTTTGTTCAATATTTAAAAAATTCAACAAACTCTCGAAAAAATTATAGGTTAATGGAGCGCTGATTGCCTGAAAAGCTAGGTATCCTCGGATATAACTACATATGTACAGACATATCGAGCCCGAACTGCCAAAATAACGTTAGCGACATTTTTTCAAAATTTTCTTTTTGATACAGAAAGGCATCGATATGTATATTTGTACAGTTCGGCACATAAAATAAGTTTGGTAATTTTTTGTTGAATTTGGTAACTTTTTCCAGTGATTTTGGTAAAAAATAAAAAAACTTTGTGGCAACACTGATTTGTACATATGTACGACGAAGAAAAAAAGCAAAAACCTGAAACCTGCCGGCCGGTTTTCATTGACGTGTCGTGTTTGTACAGCACACTACGAGAATACGCGCATACCACAATGAGATACGATTCTTTTCAGTGGTAGAGTAGAGTAGTAGTATGTAAGTTGTCTTGTACATATGAAAACGTAAATATATATTCGTAGTAGCGTATAGAATTGAATCGATTGAGCCAACGAGCCGTAGGAAGAGGGGGCCAGGGGGCCCTCGGGTACACGAATGTGTATGGATATTTCACAATTTCACAGCGATTACCAGTGAATCGGTCGACTGGGAATTTCACAACGGTATGAAAGTGACAAGTATTTAAAGTATTTATATATGTGTGTATGTGTATGTAAGCTTACATAAACTCACACGTAATACCAAAAATATTTAATTTCAGATAATTTTTTTCCATTTTTTGCAGACATCATTTTGCTATATCTTCATGACTATCACCACCCACAACTTCAGCTAATATGTCCGACATGACAAACTAAATGTTATCAATAGCTCCATTATCACCTACACTGAGTTCTAGAAAAATGAAAGGACGTTTACAATTTCTTAAAAATTATCATTACGATGTCTATTTACTATGTACACATCTGCATACATACATATGTATGTATGCCTGTGTATTCAGGTGTACAAATGTAAGAAGGCAAAGTTTGCCTTGTTAAAAAAAAAATAATATTTTGCAGCTCACTCGAGAGAAAATTTAAAGAGCGGCATTTTAAAGTACTCAAAGAAGCACGATTGAGAGAATACAATATTCTATCGTTCTTGTCAAAGAAGCACATAAACCCACTCTTGAGCAAGTGTAACGCAAAAGAGGAAGCGAATGAGTGAAGTAGTACTGAGATTTTTAAGAGCAGCAAATAAAAAACTACGCAGCAGTGTTACCGTTGTGCGACTAAAGTATCAAATCGACACTGGATATCGATGCCCCCTGACAACCACTTTTTAGAAATAGGCTTATGTATTTTGAAACTTTTCTTAGACATCATGCGACTTTTGACCGACTTTTTCTTTGATTAAAAATTATATATATTATATACCCAATTGGACAAGTTTTTCATAAAATATTACTTTTCAAAGGCGCTCCAAAATTACATCTCTATAAAGTTATTTGTGTTAAACTCATTTTCGTGGCTCCCGGTACAAACAAATAATCGGCGATAATTTTTATACAAGCTTAAAAGGCTAAACTTTGTTGTAATAATTGTTATCTGCTAACGTTGCTTTTGTGTTATATTGATGTATGTACTTTTTTAATTAAATTTTGTTTTCATAATAAATGCAAAATATGCAAATGCATATTGAGTATTTTTAATATATCCCTCATCAATAGGTTTTTATTTTAAGGGAAAAAAATATTTTTAATAGAAAATAATCTGCAATAGAAATTTATTAAAAAAAAATGGGTTATACTCGTCGATGAAATAAAGTCGAGTCTAATGTAAGGTGCAGCTTTTTTGACAGATTTTCCATTGAAAATTATGTCAAATAGCTATAACTAGAGTCGATTTTGTTTCGACTATGAATATGCCCCAATAAGTTTCGAGAGGTAAAATTATAAAAGTCTCTATATACATGGTATAAAAGATTTGAATTACTTCAAGACACTTTCGACTTTCGAAAATTTTTCAACGGTAACACAGTTTCAGAATTGGGTTTTGGTTTTTACGAAAAGTAGTATTTTAGGCAAAACGTTAAAATTGAAAAGGAGCATGTAAAAATACAACACCGATATATCTGTATATGACTAAGGCAGGATGATGGGGTGCGATTAGATGACATAAGTACATATGTATATACATAAATATTTATGACCAAACGATCTGAGCGTTGCCCACAGTCCCGTTTTCGGCGGGACGCTGCCGGATTTAAGAGCTAAGTCCCGGTTCCGGTACAACACAAGGCGGGGACGTGGAAAGCTAATGACTGATAAACGACACTCACATATTGACAAGATTTGCCCATTTATCTTAATACATATTTTTTTTAATTTTTATTATTTATTTATAAAAATGCATATATATTATGTATATATAATATTTAACAAAAACCATATAAATCACAGTTTCAGCCTTTATGCCACATTTGAGAAAAAAAAATCTACAAACTCGTAAAATTTTCGAACTTTTGAATTCGATTTGAGAAATATTTTGAGTATGCAGTTTTGTAGCCTATTCAATTTTAATAATAATAAATAATAAAGCTCAAATTTAAAGTTTCCGAGATTTGCCGTTGATTTTTGGTATTTGTTTGTTTTTTTTTTGTTTACGATGTCAGTCATTTTCTTCCAGGCAAAGTATATATGTTTGACGACTCTCTATGGAGAAAATGAGCAAAACCTTCAACACAAAAAAAAAAGACTCGCAAAAATCAACGGTAATTCGGACCCAAGGTGTATTAAACAAGGTGTGATTGACAACTCAGTGCGGCTCTCTTTTAAGGTACTATAATGTCAAAAAGTATAAACAAACGACATAACCCTTAGTGATGCATGTATCTTATCAGCACTGATGCCCTAGGCTTTTATTTCGATTATAGTTTTGTTTTACTTACATTACTTATGTACATCCAGTGTTCGCAATATGTTAATCTGATTAATGATTAAAAATTAACGATTAAAATGTTAATCGCGATTGACGATTAAAATTAATTAATCGTAATCAACTGAACGATTAATGATTAAATTTTTGTAATCGTTAATCGCTGGCGGCGATGACGATTAATTAATTTTAATCATTAATCGTTAATCCAATTAAAAAGAAAATCTGATTAAGTTGTCTAGTTTGTCCGAATTTGAAACCAAACACCAGTTACAGTAATTATTTCGTGTTTAACGCTTATAAAAAGCACATAATATAAAAAAAATATATAATTATTGTTATTAGTAATACAGAAAACTGGGAACTTTTACAACCCAGCGCACATGTGCAGAGGGATATTAAAACCTAGTTTGTAAAACGTCTGTTGGAATAGATCTTAATGAAAATGCACACGAAATTGCTTAGATTGATGAGGAAAACCGACTTAGCCATACCCGATTAACTGGCCTTGTGTGCACAGGAAAATTCCATCATAAATTAATTAATCACCAAACCTACTTAATCAAATTAAGGGTTAATGATTAAAAATTCATTTTTTTTAATCGTGGTTACGATTAACTTTTTAATCAGATTAAAATTAATCAGGATTAACTGTAATCGGATTAAATTTAATCGAGTTAACTAATTGATTAAAAAATCAATCGATTAGTGCCAACACTGCTTACATCACATACATTTTGTCAATAAAATAAAACAAATTGTTTATAAAATCGTTTTAGCAATTTTCTTGTTTTTATTGCCCAAGTTTTGTGCTTTTGTGCGTTTATTTTTATATTTCAATTTTTTATCCTAAGCATTATTCGACACTTATAAAAGTATGATTTTACATTTTTTACCAATTTTATATGTGAGCTTAACTCTAACAATTTTGAAATTAAATTTTTTTCATGCGAAATAGTTTGGGCATCAACAAAGAATGTATTCTGATCGCGTACTAAATCCTCACTTGTATCAGTTATTTCGTATGGCATTGGGACTGCGCATGGGTATAAACGAGCTCGTTGGAACGTGTTTGATTTGGACATCACTTTCCTTGAAGTGGTTTTCACAAACGCGAGATGAATCACGTAGTACAACACCACAGCTTTATTCCCATCGCTGCCGTCTAAATTCGCAACTAGGTGGTTTAAAACATCGCACTATTTTCGTGTCCTGACTTTTATTGCATACAGCGCACCGTTCAAACGTTTTGCTCCGTTTCATCTTGGTTTCCTTACATTAAATATTTAAGCAAAGTCGAACGTATTTACTTATTACCAAACTTAAATGTACTTACTTGCTCTTCTCGGCGGTTTATCTCTTAACAATTTCACGTTTATTAAGAAAATTTGTTGCTTGAAAAATTTGTGTGTATTTTTTTTTTTTTTATTCAAATTTGAAAAAAAACACATTTTCAAATGGGTTAACAATTCATTTCAATTTGACATTATTAGCCTGTTTCTTATGAGAGCAATGTCAAAATCAATTACACTTTGTTGAATACATTTTGGTCGGACCTACCTTAAACTTGCACTTTGTTATACTAAAATAGAATGAGCTCCGAAACTGTAAGCTCAAAATATTTCTAAAAAAAATCTAGTTAAAAAGCTCGACATTTTTACGAAAGTTTGATTTTTTTAAATTTGCACAAAGATCGAAACTTGGATTTACATGGTTTTTATTAAAGAGTATACTATATTTTGATTAACAAATAAAATTAAGAAATATTAATATAAATGGTCAAATCTTGTCAATATGTGCGTGTCGTAAAGTGATAAGCATTATATTTAGTTGTACTTTTTTAATATTTTAGTTGGGAAACATGTAACACCGAATCGAAGAAGTTATCAAACTGACAAACAAATTTCTAAATTACCAAACACGTATCTATTGTGGCCTAACCCTTCAAGTAATTTTAGAGCCCATTTATTAATAAAATTATTTTTATTTACGGCAACATAGAATGATATTTATAACCTTTTGTATTTCAGATCTACATATATGTCTCAATAGTGGGCGAAGCATTTACTATCGCTAACCATTTGAGTGATGTTGCAAAATATATACTACATACTCGTATCAATTTTATAGTTTTCCAATTTTCTTACAATGCGAACTATTTACCTACTCAACGTTTTAATGAAATTATTAAGGCAACAAACATTTAACCTTAAAGCTTGTACATACATTCATACATACATACATATGTGTGGAACTAAAATAAACACAAAATACATATGTATGTACATTAGGGTGCCTATCGAAAATTCTTTTTTTGAAAATTTCAAGACCCTACCCCCTAATTTTATTCATTTTTACAAGAAATGCTATTGCCTATTTTTATAGATGTTTTAAAGGTCATTTAGAGGTCGCGACCTGTCGATTTAGGCGATTTTGTAGATTTATGCGTTTTTCATTAAAACGAATAAAATTAGGGAATAGGGTCTTGAAATTAAAAAAGAAACATTTTCTATGGGCACCCTAATGTATATATAAATGAAACAATTCATTTAAATATGGAAATAAATGCTGTTGTTTGACAATGAAATATAAACTGAAACAACTGAACAATATCAGCGAAAAATGTTGCATTCGATTATTAAAGGTTTGCTATTTTAATAAATGGGTTTCAAGTTCAGAATACAATACAGTCCGACTGGAGCGAGCCTAATGAGAACAAACATGTATATGTTTAAAGTACAAAAAAAATAGTGTTTTTGCCTTCACTAAATAGTGAAATAAAAATGGTAATTAGTATTTATGACTTCATTAAATAAGTACTGCATACAAAAGTAAGTAGTGCAAAGAAATCGCGAAAATTCCGAAATAGTCCTGAGATTCCAAAAATAATGCCGAAACGCTGAAGTTCCGAAAACTCTACAAAAAATACCGAATGATCTCGAAAAATATAATGAAAAATTCCAGAAAGTCCTAAAGAAATGGAGAAAAGTCTTGAAAATGTACCCAAACTTCTTCGTAAAAATCCCGAAAAATAAAACACAGGGAATCCTGAAAAAAAAAACTTTAAAAAAAATGCGAGAAAATTTTTCCAAAAGTTTCAAACAGTCTGCAAAATCGATATTGTCAATCTTTAACATAAAAAGGAAATTAGTATTTCTTTTCCTGAATCCTTTAGTATTTAAACTTAAGTAAACCCACGAAATTTAATTCGCTGGACGAAGTTTATGTCGTTGAGCTCATACAGCTGATCGTTCCATAGTCTGGGGTATTCGCATTGCAGCTCTCAAGAAAATCAAAAACTCCATATAAAACCACTCATGAAATGGCGAAGAAATTTTCTAGTGTCAAATTATCTTAAGGCAGTACGCAACTCATAAGAAATTTGCTACGCTTTCTACTACGGTTTTGTAAGTTTTTTTTTTTTTTTTTGTGAAAAAAGAGCACAAGGCAACCAGCCCATGTTTACAACAGCAATATATGTATGCCCGTTCCATTATTTCGTGAGGAAAGAGCGAGCCAACAGGCTAGTGAAATATCAGATGTCAAAATTCCTTGGACACACACACGAAATAATGGCAATTTTTTCTCGACCGTTTTCTTAAGAGCTGGATACTAAGCTTTAAGCTCTTCCCGGTGGCTATAGCCAACTATATGCTAATAGGCACACAAGAATGGGACCTGGTCAGCAGCACAATAGC